TTTAAATTGAAGATGGTCATCGTGGTTACATGTTGTTCCTCAAGCACATTCAGCTTTTGAAGGTACCACTGTGGAGTAATTGGAGAGCTGAATTTATCTAAAATTAGGGTTTTTCAGCAGATGTCACAAGGAGAGGGGCAAAAGGGAATTGATGTGTGCAGGGAAGTATTTGTGCTGATTCACCATGAACCTGTAAAAACTCTAAAATAGGTAGGGATCTATAATGGGTGAGAACAGAAGTAAACCCATAGTTAAACCATTGATTAGTGATAGTTCAAAGGTGGTACATCATTGGAAGGTCTTAGATGGGTGGAATAATTGTTGGAGTGAAGATGTTAGAAATACCTGAGGCAGTGTTTGGAGAGTGAAATGTTTGAAACTGATTTTGGAGGTTAGGTAATGGAGGTGAGCCACTGAAATAAGATGGGAAATAAGATAACTGGAGAAGACAAAGTCCAAGAATTGATATATTAGGGTATGAGAGTGATTATCTACACAGTAAAATCACCAAAAATTAAGACAAGATTACTGTTAGAGGAAATGCCAGTGGGTCAGACAGAAAATCATGACAAAAGAAAGGAGAGTGACCTGGGAGTCAGCAGATTAATATAATGTGGAAAGGTAGCAGGTGATAAAATCTTATGGCCTGAGATTCAAATCTGGTATTTATAGGGAGCAGAAAAGGAGAATGATTTGGAAATGTCACTGAGGAAACAAGAAAAACACCTGCTGCCCCTCTGGGTCCAGTGATAGGAGGGGTTGTGGGAAGGAATATATCCCCACTTGAAAGAGCCTCAGGAAAAGCAGTGGGTTTGAGAGAGATCCAGGTTTCAAATAGAGCAAGAATGTGTTAGTATCATTCAGAAGAGACAGTGGAGGATATAGAGGGTTTTGATGATGACAACATGTTTCAAAAAGATGATGCCCAAAGGTGACATAATCCTGAATCCTTTGTAATGTAAGAGGGAGGATCATATATAGGAAGCATGAAACTACAAATGTTTTTATAAAAGCACTTGGGAGCTCAATTTTAATTTCTAGATCAAATCATTCTCCTTCTTTTAAACTGTATTGAATTTACTGATTCTAAAAGCAACACATACTCATTGAAAAAATCCAAACACTATAAGAATGTACCATTTGAAAAGGGAAAATAACTGTAATTTTTTAGAATTTTAATTTCTGAGTCAAAGATTTTCTAAATTTTCTTTTCATTATTGAGGTTGTGCACCTTTTCATATATTCACCTGTCAGTCACATTTCTTTTTCTATACATTACCTGTTATATCCTCCAGCTATTTGTATGCCATCTTAATTGTATATTTCTTATAGATTTTATTTATTTTTTTAATTAATTAATTAATTATTTATTTTTATTTATTTTTATTTATTTTTTGAGAGGGCATCTCTCATATTTATTGATCAAATGGTTGTTAACAACAATAAAATTCTGTATAGGGGACTCAATGCTCAATGTACAATCATTAATCCACCCCAAGCCTAATTCTCATCAGTCTCCAATCTTCTGAAGCATAACGAACAAGTTTTTACATGGTGAACAAGTTCTTACATAGTGAATAAGTTCTTACATGGTGAACAGTACAAGGGCAGTCATCACAGAAACTTTCAGTTTTGATCACGCGTTATGAACTATAAACAATCAGGTCAAATATGAATATCCGTTTGATTTTTATACTTGATTTATATGTGAATCCTTATTATTATTATTACTTATTATTATTATTACTATTATTTTTTTAAATAAAATGCTGAAGTGGTAGGTAGATGCAAGATAAAGGTAGAAAACATAGTTTAGTGCTGTAAGAGAGCAAATGTAGATGATCAGGTGTGTACCTGTAGACTAAGTGTTAATCCAAGCTAGACAAGGGCAATAAAACATCCACGGATGCAGAAGATTTCTCTCAAAACAGGGGGGGTGAGGTTCTAGGCCTCACCTCTGTTGATCCCCAATTTCTCACCTGATGGCCCCCTGCGACTGCGCCTGTCTTAGGTTGTTCCTCCCTTGAGGAATCTTACCCGTCTCTGGCTAACTTTTATAAGCTGTTTATATTATATTGTACCACAAGAACTTTCCATTTCTGTAGGTCAAAAATTGTTGAATATCGACAATCTCATGTGGTTCAACTTAATACGCATGGATATTAGCTAGTTGCTTGAAGTCGGTATGGTCTATCTTATCCTAATTGTTGCGTTACTTTAAGTAATTTTCTTTTTTAGCTCATACCTAGAACTTTTTAGAATTTTTTTTAAAGACATATAGTTGATATACAATGTTATATTGGTTTGAAGTACACAATACAATGGTTCAACAGTTACCCACATAAGTAAATCCTCATCGAAGTAATATTCTTTTAGAGGAGATTGGCTTTAAAAATAAAGGACAACATTAAAAGATGCAGCCACCAAAGCCTGCAGAAAGAGTTATTTAATTCTATAAAAATAATGTTTTATCATCCACTTAATGACTGCTTAAAAAATCAGCTCACAATATTTTCCTTTATTGGAAATAATGTCTCCCTTTATATCAGAACAATTGAATGATCTAATTTTCCTTACATAGGAAATTAACTATAATAAAGTAGTATAATAAAGTCTTACTATGTTGTATCCTGCTTTACATTTGAAGTGCCTTTACACACATTAATTACTTCCCTTATTCCCTAAAATAAGATGTAGTTATAAGTCACATACTCAGAAAGTTATAATGGTTAAAAGTACTCAGAAAGATAGACTGGTGAGACATACAACTATTTTGTGAAAGAGTCTGGACTAGCTAAATCTCAAAGCAAAACAACCAAGATTTTGATGAGAATTTCATACCTGTGCTTAAAATACTTATAATCTATAAATAAAATTACTATGAGAGAAACATTATTTACATTTTACAATGTAAATATTTAGCTAAATTGAGCCTAGTAGTCATTAAAAACACTAAAAAGTACTAAAAAGAGGACTTATAGTCTTGGAAGAGACATTTCCCCTGCCTATATGTTGTCAGGACTTTAGCATTGTAAGTTCAAACTGGTAATGTTTGAGTAATGACATCATAAACGGACTGTGAACAGAAAATTAAAGGGGAAAGACAGAGTAATTGTATTTTATAGTACACGGATGCTTCTGAAATTTATTCCAAAATTGTAGCTGTGTTCACACACAATATTTTACTGCTTGAATTTAAAAAATCAGTTTTTCATTGACTGAATCAATCTGGTTGTTTAACAAACACCTAATTGTTTGATATAAGCATATTTGAACAGTTTTGAGCATGTATGTGTACACATGGGACATATATATATATAGTAATTGTATATACATTATATATATATGTATACAAATATACATTATATTTGTGTGAAAGAATTATATGGGCTGAAATGAAAACACTATAAACATTCTTCTGTGTAAAGGTAACTGTAATCATACATTTTCTTCACATTGAGGCTTTTCTCCCTAAAAACTATTATATGTTCACAGTGATTTTACTCAAAATAACTTGAATATAGTTTATTCTTAGATGTATAAATTAAGCAAAGATAAAATGTCTATTAAAATAGTACAAAGAAGTCCGAGAAATAGTTTCTATTCTCCCCAAACCATATGGAGTTTGTTAGAACAAGTTATCAAGCATTACTTTGTAGGAAATTTTCAAATGTGAACTTGTCATTGTATGAAATGTAAACTCAGTAAGTAGCTAAGGATGTGCACAGGAACAACTGCTTTTTATGTGATCTTGATAATAGAAGGTGAACATTGTTTCGGCTACTGGAAGAGAAGCAATTCATTAGTTATTCTAATTTTTTTCCACTTCTTTTGTCATTAAATTTTTCTTTATTTTTGAAAGGTTATATTTATTATATCATACTTACCCTATTTTACAAAATGGAAAGAAAATGTGATCAAAGACACCAAATTAGTTTCACTTGAGCAATACTATGCAGTATATATCAGAACCCTTCCATCAGCCAAACTAAGTTCACAAGCCTGTCAAATAGTATTACTTTCTGGAAGAATTCATGCAAAGCCATTTAATTTTTAAGTCAAAAAAAGGACCACCATCATATAAAAGAATAAACGAATATCAACTATGTATAAAGAAACTTGAGAAATTTTCCTTCCCTCTAATCCAGCAATTCCACTCCTAGGAATGCTTCCTAAGGAACTTATTATTTCAGCACAAAGCCATGCATTATAGTTTTACACAAAATATTACAATTTGGAAATACTCGTGATGTCCAAGATTAAGGAATATTTTAAGTAAATCACTATATTAAAACTCCATGAGGGGGAAGGAAGTATAACACAGAGATGACAAGTAGTGATTCTATAGCATCTTACTAGGCTTATGGACAGTGACTGTAATGGGGTATGTAGTGGGGACTTAATAATAGGGGGAGTCTAGAAGCCATAATGTTGTTCATGTAATTGTACATTAATGATAGCAAAATAAAAATAACAAAATAAATAAATAAATAAATAAATAAATAAATAAAACTCCACAAAGATAGGAATCATGTCTATTTTGCTCATCACTGTATCCCCAACATTCGCATGAAGAAAACCAGGAACATAAAACTTTATGTACGGTGCGATATCTATTATATCAAAACAAATACATTTATTATTAATTGAATGGAAGTTAATACATCAAAATGGTAATCATTGGGTTATGGATAATTTTATGTTTTCATATAATGTTTTACATTTAAAATTCTAATATATGTATATGTTAAGAGGCAAACAAGCAATATGTAATCATATATGCATATGGAGGTTTGATCCAATATGGCAGCATACTAAGAGCCTCAACTCAACTGTCACATACACAGGGACACAGAAAAATAAATTTTTCAAAGGGCAATTATAATAAAAGTAAAGGAAGTACATCTGCTAATATTACATAGTCCACCAAATGGAGAGGAAATGGATGGAAATCTCTCTGGGATCATAGGTGATGGTGAGCATCATTATATTCTACTTACATCTTGATAGCACAGAGGTGATCAGGATCTGAGCACACTAGCCAGCCTGCTACATCAGCAAGCCCCATAAACCTGGCCCAAACCATCTCCAGATGTCCCACAAAGGTGACCACAATGCCCACACCTGCCTTAGCTCCAGACACCCCATAATGGCTGCACCAGTGCTGCACACAATGGGACACCGCAAGCCTGCACCTACTTCAGCTCTAGTCATCATACCAGGGAACTCCCAGAATGGAGTGCCCCAGGAATATCCAGACAATGCCCACTTCTGCTCCAGCCAACCCATCCTGCCAGGGCACCCCTCACACAGAGCACCCTGGTATACCCCAGCACCTGCTTGAGCTCCAGCCACTGCTTCAGGGCACTGTTTTCAAAAGGCACCATGGTACCCTGGCCCACCCCAAGTTTGGTTCCAGGAGTCCCACAAGAGCTGGCCCTGTTCAGAGAACCTGGGACCCCTTGGTTCCCACTCTAATCACCCAACCAGGGTGGCTCAGTTGCAAGGAGCCAAGTAAAGCTAGCCCATGGCCACTACAGTTCCAGCCAGACAGCCAAAGCCACCAGACTGACACAGACTACACAAGGCATGTTCTTACACAAGGGCACACCTGTAAGTCTGGTAAAAGTAGCTGTTTCACCTAATTCATAGAAAAAACACAGAAGGATAAACAAAAAAGAGATAGAGGAATATGCTGAAAATGAAAGACCATGTTAAAACAAGAAAAAGAGGAAAACAAAAGAGTTAAGCAATCTAACTGATAAGGAGTTTGATTCAATGGTCGTAAAGATACACACCAGACTTGAGAGAAAAGTGGATGAACTCAGTGATAATTTGGAAAAAAGAGAATGAAAATATGATTGGTGCCATGGTATGTGGGGGGTCACGGGGAAGACAGTGTAGCTCAGGGAAAACAAATAGGGACTCTGGGGCATCTTACTATACTGATGGACAGTGACTGCAATGGGCATGGGGAGGGACTTGATAATAAGAGTGAATGTAATCATCACATTGTTTTTCTTGTGAAACCTTCGTAAGAGTGTATATCAATGATATCTTAATAAAAAAAAGAGAATGAAATATAAAAAAGAGCCAATCAGAATTGAAGAATATGATAGTTGAAATGAAAAATACACTAGAGGAAATCAACAGCAGATTGAAGGATGCAGAACAGATTAGCAATCTGGAAGACATGGTATTAGAAGCACTCAAACTGAAAAGCAAAAATGAAAAAAGAATTTAAAAGTGCGGATAAGTAAAAGAACATCTATTACAACATCAAGCATACTAACATTTGCATTATAGGGGCACAGAAGGAGAAGAGAGAAAGAGGTAGAAAAATTATTTGAAGAATTGTCACCTGAAAACTTCACTAACCTGGGGAATGACGTATATCTAGGAAGCACAGAGATCTCCAAACAAAATGAAACTAAGGGGCTCCAAACCAAGACATAATAATTAAAATATCATATTAAAGATAATAAAAAGATAATCTTGAAAACAGCAAGAGAAAATCAACTGCTTACATAAAACACAAACCCCATAAGGCTATTAGCTAATTTTTCTGGCAGAAAATTTATAAGCCAGGAGGGAGTGGCATGATATGTTCAAAGTACTGGAAGAAAAATACCTATAGCCAAAAATATTCTACCCAGCAAGGTTATCATTCAGTATTGCAGGCAAGATAAAGCATTTTTCAGACAAACAAAAATTAAGAGTTCATAACAATAAAACTGGCCTTATGAGAAATGTTAATGAGACTTTTTCAAACAGAAAAAGATGCCATAACTAGATGTAGGAAAATAATGAAAGGAAAAATTTCACTGGTAAAAGCAAACATATAGTAAAGGTAATAGATCAATCACTTAAAAGCTGGTATGAAGTTAACGAATATTCATATTTGACCTGATTGTTTATAGGTCATAATGCGTGATCAAAACCGAAAGTTTCTGTGATGACTGCCCTTGTACTGTTCACCATGTAAAAATTTATTCACTATGTAAGAATTCGTTTACCATGTAAGAACTTGTTCGTTATGCTTCAGAAGATTGGAGACTGACAAGAATTAGACTTGAGATGGATTAATGATTGTACATTGAGCATTGACCCCCCTATACTGAATTTTATTGTTGTTAACAACCATTTGATCAATGAATATGAGAGATGCCCTCTCAAAAAAAAAATTGATGACATCTAAAAAATTAGTTAAGGGATTCACAAAATAAAAAAATATGTGTATTTATCTATGTGTATACATATACACACACATAAAAAGTGAAGGGGTAGTAAAAAGTAGTGCTTTTAAAATGCATTTGAATTTAAGTGACCATCAACCTAATATAAACTGCTATATACTTAGGATATCACGTATGAACCTCATGGTAACCAAAAACCTATAATATATAGGCAAAACATAGACTAAAGAAAGTTTCCAATAACAAAGGAAAAGATCAAAAGGAGAACAGAATAACAGACAAGAACCACAAAATCAACCAACCAGAAAATAATGAACAAATGGCAATATATTCCTATTAATAACTACTCTAAATGTAAATAGTTTAAATGCTCCAATATTAACATAGGGTGACTGAGTGGATAAAAAAGGAAAAGAAAGTCCCAGCTACATGCTTCCTATAAGGGACTCATTTTAGGCCTAAAGACACATAGAGAATGAAAGTAAAGGTATGGAAAAAGATACTCTGTGCAAATAGCAGTGAAAAAAAGCTGGTATAGCAACACATACCAGATAAATAATAGACTTTAAAACAAAGTGTAACAAGGGACATAATGACAAAGAAGTCAATCCAACCAGAAGATATAACACTTCAAAATATGTATGCACCCAATATAGAAGCATCTAAATATATAAAAGCAATTATGAACAGATAAAGAGAGAAATTGAGGGTAATGCAATCATACTAAGGGTCTTTATGTCTACAGCGAATTTTGTGTATATGTAATTTAAAGTGTGAAGTGAGTCTCTTGTAGCCAGTATATAGATGCATCTTTTTATTTCATCCATAGTAGGGGACTTTAACATTCCACTTACATCAAGGGATAGATAATCCAGACAGAAAATCAATAAGAAAACATTGGCTGTGCATGACATATTAGAACACATGGACTTAACAGATGTATGTGTGTGTATACATATATATATGTATATGTGTGTATATATATGTATATATATGTATATTTATGTATATATATGTGTGTATATATATGTACATATACATATATATATAAAACATTCCATCCAAATACAGCAGAATACACACTCTTTTTAAGTGTACATGGTACATTCTCCAGGATAGATCTAATGTCATGCAACAAAACATGTGTCAATAAACTTAAGAAGACTGAATATACAAAACATCTTTTCTGAAAAAAATGCTATAAAACTAGAAATCACTCACGTGAAGAAAACCGGAAAAATACACAAACACATGGAGTCTGTATAACATACTACTAAACAACCAAAGGATCAAAAAAGACATCAAAGAGGAAATTTTAAAAAATTACTTGAAGAGATATGAAAATAGAAACACAATGTTTCAAAATCTTTGGGATTCAGCAGAAGCAGTTCTAAAGGGGAAGTTTATAGTGAAACTGGCCTCCCTCAATAAACAAGAAATACCTAAAATAAAAAATTCAAATTTACACCTAAAGGAAGTAGAAAAAGAAAAACAAACAAAGCCCAAAGTTAGCATAATGAAGGAAATAATAAAGATCAAGGTGGAAATAAATGAACTAGGGGCTAAAATGATACAGAATATCAATAAAACGTTAGCCAGACTAATCAAGCCAAAAGAGGAGGGACTCAAATAAATCAAATAAGAAATGAAAGAAGTTTCATCTGATACCACAGATAAACAAAAGATTTAAAGAGATTAAAATGAAAAATTATACACCAAAATATTAGACAATCTAGAAAAAATGAATACATTCTTGAAAGCTACAATCTCCTAAGACTCAATTAGAAAGAAATAGAAAATATGAGCAGAGTACAAGCAATAACACCCAATTTGTAATAAAAAAATATTTCCCAACATAAAGAGGTCCAAGATAACTGCATAGAAAGACCATGAACTCATCTCCAAAGTACATACTGAATCTACACCTACACACAGAGCAATTCCTCCTGATGAAGAACTAAATCATGACTGAACATCTAATGCACAACAAGGGATAGAAAAACCACATTAAAATTTCAGTAAGAACAGAGACACAGTAATGGCAAAATCTCTACTCCAGTGTAGCCCAGCAGCAGAGAAAGATGTCACTGAGGAACTGGATTGGAGTTTCACTTGTCCTGGGCCACAGAAAAAAAAAAGAGCAACTAAATTATAAGTGAAAGAAGATGATTTTCAGAACTAAAGCACTCAGCCAGTGGCAGGGAAACTTATAGAAGACTCCAGGATTGGAGGTGATGGAGAATGTTGTTCCTTCCATTCCTTCTGAATATAGATAGTACAGATAGGGGAAGAGTATGGGTGTACACAAATTCAGATATAACCAAGACAGCCTCTAAGCCCTCACCTGTGCTGAAATGTGCCTGTCATTGATCAAGCAGTACTAGAGGATTGTACACACTTATACAGCAAACAAGTGCCCCATCTGATCTAAGCCATCACATGATTGTAGCCTCAGATGGCAGAAACTCAGACTGCTCATCAATGCCCCTTCTTTATCTGGCCAAACTGTCATCACAACCAAGACTGGCAGTCAACCAGGAGAACCCTACACCATGCACCTCCTTCTGAAGCCCACCCAAGATAAGGCAATGGCTAGATCTCAATGTAAAAACCTGTAACACGCCTCCTCTACCATGAACACAGCCTAGAGAAGCACCATTTCGGTAAAAGACCAAAGAGTGGAGATACCACTCTAGGCCTTTGGAAATGATGTGGGACAGTCACCCAAAGAGCCTGTGGTTGTGAAAAGCCCACAGCCTGAGAACACTCCTGTGGATCCTCTTAGAGCTTGGGTACTGTAGGGGGCCTCTTGGGGTGTCTGGGTTCCTCCAGTGCTCAGGGTCCCATTTTTCTTTCAGCGCAGGGCCCTCTGACCATGGGTCTCACGCAGGCTAGTCCAACCATCTACCTATGGCTCATGCTTCAGGGGCAGTAAGCCAATTTGTGTAAGTTTGAGCACTGGAACCAGGCAGAAGTCCAGTCACCCTGCCAATGCAGGCTTATGCCACCTCCCAGATACCCAGCAACACCAAACTGGTGCTGTTCGTGCCCGAGGTAAGCCAGCCCTGGGCATTTGCTCACTTACACCCACGGCCCAAACACCCATGCCAAAACTCCAAGCCCCGCACCACTCCCAAACTTCCACTAGTGCCACAGGCCTATGGAGCTCAGGCAGGTATCCAGCCTGAGTT